AGGGAGCAGAGACGACCATGCACCGTAACAAGAGTCAAGTATATGGTACAGTTGGTACATTTTGTCAGTAGGAAGATGGTGGAAATCCAGTCTGATTTCTTCTGTTCTCAGTGGAGTCTGAGGTATAGTCATTAGCTAAGAATGCAGAGGAAATGGACGTTAGGAGATCTGGAGTGGGGAGAAGTGCAGACAAACAGAACGCATTAGGGAAGGGTGCGTGAAGTGAACAGTGGTACATGCCTAACAGATACTTTGGACATGAATTTAAAGAGAGGCCTGTCACATGGGTCTGAATAGAAATATCTTTCCCACTTTAATAATAAAAGGATTCTTTTGTGTTTTTAATTTTTTTAAATTAAGGTGTAATTGATATATAGCATTCTGTTAGTTTCAGGTGGAGAACATAACGATTTGATATTTCTATACACTGCAAAATGATAACCATAGTAAGTCTAGTTAACATCTGTTACCATACGTAGTTACAAATTATTTTTTCTTGGGATGAGGGCTTTTAAGATCTACTCTCTTAGCAACTTTCAAATATGCAATACAGCATGAAAGGATTCTTATTGATGGTTTCCACTTTTTTTTTTAATTTTTTTTTTATTGGGGTATTGGGGGGAAGGGAACAGTGCTGGGGAATTGGGGGAAGGGGAACAGACAAATTGCTGTCGTTTTGTTCTTCAGTCTAGTTGTGGAGGACGTTGCTTCACTGGCCCAAGTTGGCACCATCATTGCGCGCTTCCCGGGCGAGGCACATCAGTCGCCGGCTTCTGGACGGCCGCTCACTGCGGCTGCTGGCCGCTCACGCTGGCTGCTGGCTACATACGGTAGCCCATGGCAACCCACTGCCACAGGGGCTGCAGCCTACGCCGTCGCTGGCGACTCACAGCAGCCCAGCTCCAGGTTGAGCTGTTGTTCAGCATCTTAGCTGTAGAGGGCAGTGTCACTGGCCCTCATATGTGGGATCCGAACCGGGGCCCTCTGGCGTCCCAAGCCAGTTCTTAACCATTGTGCCACTCGGCCGACCCGATGGTTTCCACTTTTAAATGTTTGATCCATTTGAAATTTATTTTGGTATATGGTATGGGATATAGAACCTATTTATCCACATACATTTGTTTTCATCACTAACGATTTATTATATATTTTAATAAATGGTAAATCTTGCTCCCCTCATCGATGTCCATTTTCTAGCTTTTCTTAGTTCTTTGGTGGTTTTTGTTTGTTTTCTTTTTTTAGCTATTCTTAATTTCAAGTAACTGATATATTTATGAAGTTGAGTCTTCCTACCCACAAATGTTTTACGTCTTTTCTTTTGTGTAAGTCTTTTTTTATGGTCTTTTCATTGTGTTTTAACATTTTCATCATATAGTCTTGATCTTCCCTGGTAAGTTTATTCCAAGTTATGCAAAGGAATGATGATCATGATGAACCATCATAGAATCTAGTATCAAATTAGGAGAAAAATAATAAATAACAAAATTCTGGTAAGGTCAGTTAATTGGAGGACTTGATTGAGGAATAGGATTAGGAATGAGAATACTAGTAGAAGGGTCCACCAAATGGTTCAGTTGGTTAAGAGCTTGCTCAAGAGTTTGAGCTCTGAGCAACAGTGGTTCAATTCCCGGCCCGAGCTGAGCAGCCGCTGAGCTGCCAACCGGTGGCAGGATGGCTCAGCTTAAAAAAAAAAAAAAAAAGAGAGAGAGAGAGAGAATACTAGTAGGATGAATGAATGATTTGGAAGGGTTTCCTGCTGGGAAATACTAACAAGTCTAGTTTTGGAGGACCCTCAACTTCCTTACCTCATTCTCTTTAGAATCTCTGGCCATGAGCTTAACCTATATTTTCTTTAAATTTAAAACATCTGCGTTCCTATATCCCACTTATTGTGTAACTGTCCTTAGTTTTTCTTCTTTGCTTCATATGAATTCCAGAAGATATGGTCTATTACTCCCATGTAAACACAAACCAAAATGAAGCTGGTGTTGTTGTACTGAGGGCAGACAAAACAGGCTTTCAGGTAGGAAGCCTCACCAGAGATAAAGAGGGATATAATGGGAAGAGGATCCACTTAGGAGGAAGCATAACAGTTCTAAGTTTATACAGTCTGACAGCATTGTCTCCAAATACATAAAATAAAAATGACAGAACTGGGCTGGCCGAGTGGCTCAGTTGGTTAAGAGCTCGCTCAAGAGTTTGAGCTCTGAGCAACAGCGGTTCGAGTCCAGCCCGAGCTGAGCAGCTGCTGAGCTGCCAACAGGTAGCAGGATGGCTCAGCTAAAAAAAATAAATAAAAAAAATAATAAAAATGACAGAACTAAAAGGAGAAATAGAAAAATCCAAATCATACCGATAGATTTAAACATACCTTTGTAAGCAGCTGATAGAATAGGCAGACAGAAAAATTGTAAAGAGATAATAGATTTGAACAACATAATAAACGGGACCTAATTGACATATTTAGAACATTGTACTCCAAGACTGCAGAATACACCCTCTTTTCAAGTGTTCATAGAACACTTACAAAAATTGACTATACACTTGACCATAAAGCAACTCTCAAACAATTTTTAAAAAAATATTTTATTGGGGAATTGGGGGAGGGGAACAGCGATGGGGAATCAGGGGAAGGGGAATAGACAAGTTGCTGTCGTTTTGTTCTTCAGTCCAGTTGTGGAGGACGTTGCTTCACTGGCCCATGTTGGTATTATCATTGCGCTCTTCCCGGGTGAGGCAGATCGGTCACCGGCCTCTGGACGGCCACTCACGACAGCTCTTGGCAGCTCACACTGGCTGCCAGCCGCTCATGCTGGCTGCTGGCTACACACGGTAGTCCATGGCAACCCACTGCAGCCTATGCCATCGCCAGCAACTCATGGCAGCCCAGCTCCAGGTTGAGCTGTTGTTCACCATCTTAGCTGTAGAGGGCGGTGTCACTGGCCCCCGTACGGTGGGATCCGAACCAGGGCCCTGCTGCTCAGAGCTGGCATCCCAAGCCAGCTCTTAACCAATGCGCCACTCGGCCGGCCCAACTCTCAAACAATTTAAAATGGTTCAAGTCGTACAGCGTGTTTTCTGACCAGTAGTGGTTAAATAGGTCCACTTGGTAAAAATTCATCAAGCTTCACGCTTATGACTGACTCTTCTATTAAATATTTTTTTAATATGACATACTTTTACACTGCCTGTCACAAGCTCCCTTCCATCATGTTTCAAAATATCTATGCTATTTTGCAATGATGATACCAACATGGACCAGTGAGGCGACATCCTCCACAACTAGACTGAAGAACAACAGGACAGCAATTTGTCTGTTTCCCTTCCCCCGATTCCCCAACGCTGTTCTCCTCCCCCAATTCCCTAATAAAATCTTTAAAAAAAAAAACTATGCTATTTTATTTACCTTCTTGTGTTTATTATTTCTACTCATATGTACTTCTCCAAATCCACATTTTATATGGCATGTACTTTACATATGTTATCCCAGTAAATTTTTACACCAATCTAAAGAGATAAGTCTTTTAACTCCCACTTGACAGATAAGTGAGAGTTGGAATAGTTTAAAATAGTGACTTGCAGTGACCACCAAGTAGCACCGAGTCAGAGCTGGAGCTCAGAACTGTGATTCACAGCCTTCCCATTTTACACATCACACTACCATTCTTGAGTGTCATTCCCAACTTTCTTCCTTGGCATTTTCCTCCCTGGGAATTACTCAACACCTGAGTAAAAATTCAACATCTGTTGAGTACCTCCTATGTGTGGGTTCTGGTTTACCTGTTGGCCGAACATTAGTGAACAGGCCCTCCCCTTAAAGAGCTCAGCCTGAGGAGCGGAGCCATTCAAGTGACATACAGGTGTGTGCCAGCCGGGCTCACTGCTCTCCGGTTGCCTGTGTCCTTCATGGAATTCAGTTTTATCATCTATCTGGTTATTTTTCTCACTTCTCCTTCACTTTAAAAGCCCTCTGGATGAGGGCAGCAAGTGCCCTGCCAAATACATTCTTCTAATTCTTGTGGAATTCAGAGTGCTTCATAACAGATCCAAAGCTTCCCAAATGGTGCAAAGGTGAGTCAAAGCCAGGGTCAGGGAGGAGTGGGGTCTACTGGGGACACGAGATAAGTTTGGAAAGGCAGGATGACCCGGGTCCAGGCCACAGGTTACGCGGTAGGCAGGCCCAGGCATGTGCTTGAATATCTAGGCAACAAGGACCTGTGGGGAAATGATCAACGCTGATAACAATGTTATTTTGATTGCTCAGGCAGTGATGTTTCAGAAAGGCTGAAATTAGAAGATTCTGGAATTTGAGAGGCTCGTCAGGCTCAACAAACAGCTCTTGAGAACTCGTGTTTGAGGCACTGGACATGCAGGCCAGTTCCTGCCTTTGTGGAGCTCATAATCGACTGCGAGAGAGAAACAGCAAAAATGTCCTGTGGGGGCTACGATGACACAGGTGCAGAACTGCATGCGGAGCACAGACCTCAGGGAGGCCAGGGATGGTGCTGTAGTTTGGAAAGGAAGGCAGAGGACAGGGAGGTCGCAGAGCTGGGACACTGGCTCTTAAGCCTCACCTGCTGAAACAGCCAGCTATGCGGAAAGGGGAAGGGAATGGGTTGGAACCGCCCATCAAGATTATGAACCAGGGCTGGCCAAGCGGCATGTTGGTTAAGAGCAGGCTTGGGATGCCAGAGGCCCCGGTTCGGATCCCACATATGAGGGACAGTGACACTGCCCTCCACAGCTAAGATGCTGAACAACAGCTCAACCTGGAGCTGGGCTGCCGTGAGTCAACGACATAGGCTGCAGCCCCTGTGGCAGTGGGTTGCCATGGGCTACCGTGTGTAGCCAGCAGCCAGCATGAGCGGCCAGCAGCCACTGTGAGCGGCCGTCCAGAAACCAGCGACTGATCTGCCTCGCCCGGGAAGAGCGCAATGATGGTGCCAACTTGGGCCAGTGAAGCAACGTCCTCCNTCCCTCCCCGAGCTCGGGGAACTTACACAGCACCACCGCCGTGAAGAGGAGCGACGGCCTCCCCCCGACTCGCGCCTTCGTCCCCATGACGACCGGGATCCCGACGCGACAGCGGCCCCGCAGCCCCGGGCCAGACCCAGCTTCGCGCGCGGCCGGCGGTCGGAGCTCGGGCGGCCGGGCGAGCGCAGCGGCCCGCCCCCCGCGCCTGACTGGCCGGCGCCCGGCCCCGCGCGCCCCGATTGGAGGAGCCAGCCGCCGCTCCGCTGAGTGACTCGCCGCCGCAGGTGCGGCTCCGCCCCCCGCTCTCCGCGGGCGGCCGGGGGCGCCTCTCCCAGCCCGAGGCGCCTCCGATTGGCGGGGGACAGTCGCGAAAGGAGCCCGACCGCGCGCCTTCCGCAGGTGAGCGCACCCTGCTTGGGCGGCGCTTCCTGGGCGAGGTCTCTGACTGCCGGGCGCGGAGTCGGGCGGGGCGGGGCGCACCTGGCGGGCAGGTAGGGAAGGCGGTCGTGGCCGCGCCCCGCGGAGACGCGCCGGCCTTTGTGTCTCGTGTGTTTGGCTGTAAATTACTGGGTGCTGCAGAAACCTTGCTTGCGTCCTTTGGCAAATGAAAACCTCATATTACTATGCGAGGAGTGGGGGGCGGGGACCCGGAGGGAAGTAGAGGGTGCCACGACACAACCCCAAAACCGTGCTCCTCTGTCGACCCCATCGGCGGCGTTCGCACGGTTCGAGCGCCTGCGCGGAGACGGGCAAGGACGGCGGGCGCGGAGAAAGCGGGAAACGCTGAATGACATCGTCGCACGGACTTCGAGCAGCCGAAGTCCAAATCACCCCACAACACAGATGGACACACAGATGCTCTGGGAGCCGCTGTGACTGGATGTGCCCTTTCGCGCGTGTGACCTCCAGGATCTCCATAAGAGCTCCGCGTTTCAGGACTGTTCATCTGCACACTGTGACTAACAGCCGAGTGCTGACTAACCCCCTTTCTATAGACTATGTTGATACCAAAGCTTTCTGTTAATGTTTATATGGTTACATCATTTTTAACTGAAACTCATGTTCAACACCTTTACTATTTGTAGTTTCTCTTTCACAATGATTTAGTTTTAACTGATTTTAGTATGTCCAGGTTGCCCGTGGGAAAACTTGGTGAGCATTATCTCACTGCACGTAAATAAAAGTGTTTTGTCTACACTTTTATACAAAACAGTGGTATTCCTTGACATTTGCTCCTTTCATCTTTACATTCATCCCTTTGTTCACATCTCTTGGGTCAAGGTCCACTTTTGGTTCTGCCCGACTTACAGCAATATTTATCAACCACCTACTGGGTGCTGCAGGGGAATACAAACCACAATCCCTGGCTTCAAACGGCTTAGTCTACTTCCAAGAGAAACACAGGAGACACTAACCCAAGGAGAAACCATATTACTAATCGAAACACATGCCTACCATGTGCCAAACTCTGTTCTTTACCCTCAAAGGAGATAGTCTTGGGGAGAGAGACACATACACAAAGTTAAGTATGAGGGTGAAGAGCGGAAGAGGGACGGGCTTGGAGAAGGGACCAGTCACTGTGGGCTGTGACTGTCAGAGAAAATTTTCAGATGGGGGAGCTTGCACAGGGTTTTAAAGGAACTCTAACACTGATCGAAGTCTTTAGATGGACGGGTCATTTTAGAGGTCATTTAGGTCTTCCTCTCACACTACATAGGAAGGCCCGTACAACCAAGAGTTTATACAATACTGCTTAAACTCCTCTAAATATTCTCAAGACGGACCACTCTGCTTTTCATACAACTCTTAATTGTTAAACCATCCTTTCAACAAATTGGAATCTACCTCCTGGTAACTTCCAGCCACCGCTCTCTAGCGCTCGTAAAATATCTAGTTATTCTTTGCCAATGGCAGCCCTTCCTCTAAGTATTTTCAGCCTCGTAAGTCTTCCTTCTCCAAGCTAAACATCTTTATATCCTTCAGAGAGTCTTCATGTGGTACAGGCTCACAACCTTCCCACCACCATTAAAGTCCCTTCGCTGGACCATCCTGTGTTTGTTACTGACCAAGGTCTGAACCAGGCACTGGAGAATCCACCTCTCCAATGGGATGGACAGATCTCAGCTCACACCCAGGTCCTCAATTCCTATCCATCTGCCCGTCATCAGCTAGCTCACATCTCTCTGAAACTTTCTGCATCCAGAGGTAGTCAAAATTATAGTGACATCACTTACCTTATAGCAAAACAAGGATCAAAGAATAAACATAATAAGCTTAGCATGGGGCCAGCAATATATGTGTGTGTGTGTGTGTGTGTGTGTGTTTTACTGAAATGGCAGCATTTTCATCATTCTTGCAGTGTAAGAATGCATTTGCACATATAATAGCACATGACACTAGTTATGTCAATTTGTAACAAACTGAAACCCACATAATTCTACTTTCACTTGGACTACTATTAAATCAGATCTCATCCTACACCTGGGCAGTTCTTTGTTGCTCAAAGTTCATTTTGCATGTATCCCTATTAAACTTCATATTTCTTGTTTTGAAAAGGAAATATTAATATATAGAAAAGTAGATATGAAATAATGTTTACTATTAAATGAAAAAAAGTAAATGCAAATAGTATGCATCCCAGTTATTTCTATATGAAACAGCTGTGTGCCCATTTACAAAGCATGAAGGTAATTTTGGATCATGAAAATCATTTTACATTCGCCCATTTCCTTTTCCCATAAAATTGCTCACATAAATAATAAGATTTTAGGGCCGGCCGAGTGGTGCATTGATTAAGAGTTGGCTTGGGATGCCAGCCCTGAGCAGCACGGCCCCGGTTCGGATCCCACATGAGGGCCAGTGACACTGCGCCTTCTACAGCTAAGATGGTGAACAACAGCTTGACCTGTGGCCGGCAGCCAGTGTGAGCAGCTGGCAGCCG